CAACGAAGAGGTAGAGCAAGGGTGCGAGGGGGCACCCTTGCCGTACCCCTGCTTCCATGTTCACCAGCTTCGATTTGTAGCCATTCACCATCGCTCTGGCTCGCGTTTCGCTCAGCAGCAGCCGTACCCAGGCGCAGAGCTGTGGCCCTGCACCCATGGTCTCCATTGCTGCCAGGAGGAACCCACGATCCACCGTGTCATAGGCCTTGGCGAAGTCCAGGAATGCCAGGAGCCCCCGGCGGTTCTGCTTGCGAAGGAGGTGTGACAGGTGACGCAGGAATAGCACACTAGCTCCAATGAGGCGCCTAGGTAGGAAGGCTGATTGCTCGGGGGTTATGACTTGGCCAAGGGCAGGGCCTAGGCGGTTTGCCAGCACTTTGGTGAGCAGTCGGTAGTCCGAACAAAGCAGGGTGATAGGCCCATGTATGTATGTATGTATGTATGTATGTATGTATGTATGTATGTATGTATGTATGTATGTATGTATGTATGTATGTATGTATGTATGTATGTATGTATGTATGTATGTATGTATGTATGTATGTATGTATGTATGTATGTATGTATGTATGTATGTATGTATGTATGTATGTATGTATGACGTTGATTACACTGTGGGCTGAAAAGCCGGGGGCCCAGGGCCGAAGCACAGCGCGGGGGGCGGGTGCATACGGCTGGTTAGTCTCATGCACTCCGCCCCCGGGTCAGGCCGCACGGGAAACGACGGCCGGCACGCAACATGTGTATGTATGTATGTATGTTGGTTTACATTGCGGGCTTAAAAGCCGGGGACCCAGGGCCAAAACGCAGCAGAGGGGGGGGACACACACGGTTGGTTAGTCTCATGTAATCTGCCCCCAGGTCAGACCACATGAGATACAACGGCCAGCACTAAGCAGTGTTCCCCACCGGGGTTTAGCACTACTGCTAAACGGGTTCTAGGCCCGCCGGTCACCTAACCAATCGAAGTCGTACCTGGGGATTCTCCTTATGGGCAGAAAGTACAGAAAAAAACTCAAAGAGCACGTGCTCAGGACCAGGGTGACTCGGAGCCCAATGAGTCATCCTGGGCTGGGGAGGCCACCAAGCTCTAAAATGCCACAAAGAGCTCACATCACAAGATGCCAAACAGCCTCCTGAGTCTACTACCCACCCCCGCCTCTTCCCCCCTGGGCTAGTCCAGGGGAGGTATCAACCGCAGGGGGGTTATCACCGCACGTGTCCATGGCCCCCCCTACATCGCGTTGGGGCCAACACAAAAAAGTGCGTGAACGGGGGGAGATCCTGCCATGAAACCTGGCGACCAGGCCTCCGAAGAACACCACAGGGAAGGAGAGTAGCCAGCTCGGTGGCCCCTTTTTACTGCTCTATTGTAGCAGCTGACACACAGTACAGCACACATAACAACTACAAATACGCGCAAAGCGCTTGACCAGCACCTCGAGAGGCCTTTCCAGCAGGGCCAACTACTACACATCCACCGAGACAGCTGGCTCTCAAGGCCCTTACTTACCATGTTTGCAGCTCGAGGATCCCCCGGCCGCATACCTCAAGAGAACCCAGACCTGCAGCACACGTGAACCTAGAAGTACGGCCCCTGGGGTGGTAGTGGGGTAGTCTCTGGGCAGGAAGGTGCAGCACCAGGCTTTGGGTCGGGGAGCTCACCATCTCGGTCTCCATTTCCATGTCCGCCTTGTCCGCCTCAGCTGTTGATGTTGATGTTGTTACAGGGTGGTTAAGCTTCACCAGTGGCCTCCTTCCCGAGGCAATTCCCTGCTCTCCCCTGCTAGAGGGGCACCCTAAGCCATTCACCCCATCCGACTTCAGAGTGTACTCTTTGAGTTTGGCAACTCACCACCAGCATCCAACCAAATCTTGCGGATCGACGGCGCCTCAACTTAGTTCCTGGTCAGCTCGCGAGTTGATTTTATCACGTCCTACACCGTCCACAAGATGGGGGGCCACCTCCCATTTCACCACCTCTCAAACACCCGAGAGGTCGGCAGGCGGATTTGAACCCGGGTCGACCGGGAGCAGAAGTCAGGCCTTAACCTCTGCCAGCCGCCTGCCTAAGCTGTTATCGGCTTCACAACAAGGCCTTGTGTCCCTGGGTAACCTTGGCCTCGTCACCTTGTGCTCCCGTGTGGAGTGGATAACCACCGTGCGTTTCCCCGCAGCCGCTTGTTTCCGAGTCTTCCGCTTCTGGTCCATGAGGGCGGTTTCCAACCATTCTGTCCATGTTTGTGGTTCCTTTTTTTGTGGGCCATTTCTGTGGACTGTTTGCAAACTGCTTGGGCTGCAGCCGTTTGCAGGAAGAACGGGACCAGGAAGAACGCGCGTCTGGACCCCCCTGCCAGGTCTGGCCTGCGGATTCTCTTTGTGACTCCTTGGGTCTTAAGCGTGCGTGTGGTCCCCTTGAATGCCGGTGCCTGGTAGAATGGGGTGTCTTGTTGGGCTGGGTTGGAATTGGGTTGTACTGATGGCGCTGATGCTACCAGCAGTGGTGCTGGCCCCGGGGATCCATCCCCGGGCCAGCACCATTGCTGTGGGCCTGTCCACGGAGGGTTTCTCCACATGGGATGCTGTTGGATCTGACGCTGCTGTTAGTCCTCCCCCCCTTTGGTGGTGCTGCCCCTGGCGCTCCCCGTGCAGTTGTGGGTAGGGATGAGGGTAAAAGCCCATGGTGGTGGGTGTCTACTCATCACCCCTCAGCGCAGCGAGCACCGAGTATGGGTTGGCTTCGGCCAGGGTTGTTTCCATTCTTGCCTTTGCTATCCATGCGCAACTCCGTGCCATCTATTCCTCCTCTCTGAGCTGTGTTGTGTTGCGTTCCTGTGGCTGGTCGGTTCGTGGCTTTGCCATCGGGGCTGCGGCCAAGGCCGGGGTGGGCTTCTCCACCAGGCAACCGCTGGTATTGCTGTGTCTGGCTGGGTCTCTGCCAAGGTGCAACATCTTCAACCAGCTCAATTTCCATCCCCTCGCCCTCCAGGTCCGACACCGCCTCTGTCTGTTCCGCCTCCACTTCCATGTGTGTTGTCTCCAATTCCGGAGCTGAGTGTGTTGGTGCAGTTGGCGGTGCTGGGGTTACGTTGGCAGCCATATGGTGGCTCCAGGGGAGGGGTTGGCTGCACGGTATGGTGTTGGTCCCCGTGTTTCCTGTGAGGCCTTTTGAGGGGCTGTGGGTGGGTCGGGTAGGGGTGTTGTTTTACCCCTTTTTCCCTGCAGCATTCACCCTGCAGCATCCCCGGGGTAACCCTCTGTGTTGTTCTTGTTCCCACGGGGTTGGGTGGCAGGTTTGCTGCCGCTGCTGCCACTGCCGTTGGGCCGGGGAGGAGGGGCTCTGCTACTGCTGGGACCTGGGGCCACCTTTGCTGTCCTAATCCCTGCTGCCAGGGAGCACCTTGTCCCTTGTCTACTGCCCTGAGTAGACATCCCATTTTCTCGTCGGCGGTTCAGACCACGATGCTGTGCGGGTGTTAGCGATGTCACCTCTGCCATTTACTCCCCTGCTGCTGCCGTGCTCCCTCGGGTCCCGCAGTGGCAGAGGATGAGGCGGTGGGGTTGGGGGTGGCGGCGGTGGGGTTGGGAACCCCATCTCCGCTGCAGCTGGTGTAAGAATCTAGGCTGCTGCCGCAGCCTGCATCCCTGACATTTGCGGCTCCATAACGGGGGCGTCAGTTCTCCCCAGGGGGTGGTGGATGCCGCTGTGGCGGTGGGGGCTTTGAGGCAGCAGCCCTGTGGAAAAGCCACCCCATCGACTGATGCCTGTCACTCGGCTCACCGACTTTTGGACGCGCACACATCCGACATGGCGGCAGGGGCAGAGCCGGGCGAGAGCAGCTGTGCGAGAGCGGCTCTGTCACACATTTGGCGGCAGTCCATCCAGCGTTTAACTCAGATGTATTTGTTCATCCTCGTCAAGATGCCGAGGCCCAAGTTCCTAATATGTTGTATCACGCAGCCCTTCTTAAGCCTCCCAAGGCCCCCAAGCCCCCCAAGCCTATTAGGCAAACAGCAGCCGCCAGGGCGTGGTGCACATGTGCAGTGGAACGGATAGTACATGCGTGAGTTAGAAGCGCGCCTGATTATTCAATTCGTACGTTTGACACTCCTGCTTAGATCTGCACCACGCAGCCGCCATCACAGAAAGCGCCAGCCGGCAGCATCCCTTGTGTCGCGAAAGCAGTCGGGGTGTGTGTACAACTGGGGGGTTATAGTCGCAATGCATAAAGAGCCCATTTATTTGGGGCCTCTCTGGAAGTGAAGCATGTGTTCGCACTGCAAGCACAAATGCGTGGCCAGGAGAAGGTGCCCACCTGGGTTAATGAACTGCGGCGTTATTACCCTTTATGGACAACATAAACAGCAGGAAACGGAAAAGCGCCACCGGGAGCCCCTCGGGCCGTATTGAGGTACCTGACGAGTGTTATCACTTTTTTTTTCCAAAAACATCTTACTAGGAATTATCGTTAGCGCCAATAAGCGAGGTTAGCTGGAATGCACGCATGGTTAATAAAAAAGATAGACAGATAGATAGACAGCGATGGATAGCGTGCGTGCAGGATGCCAAGCAAAGGGTCGTGGTCGCGCAAGTAAGATTGGGCTTGAACAATAACATAAGTTCTGCTTACCTCTAATGTACACTACAGTTGTTGTTATGCGCGCGACGCGGACTTTCCTGCATGGTTGAGGATATTTGCTGAAGGGGGCCGCAGGGCGAGGCTCGGTCTGCCAACGCCCAGTTGTTCCTCCGCCCTTCAAGTGGTGAAGAGACAAATATAATGTATTAATCTAACAACGCACAACGGCGTCAGGTTAACTTGAGCCGTGAACGCAATCTCCATCCCAATGGGCTCCAACAGCAGTTCGCCGTAAAAAACAGGGATTCTTCATGCCTCCTCTAAACAATGTTACAGTTAAACTATAACTTTTACAAGAACACGCTCCCCTGAGATCCTGTGCTAATGTATGCAACCAGTGACCGTCAAGGGGATCTGAAAGCTAAGCCTGTGAGGCGGGATATTCGCCGAGGTGCGATGAACCTTAAAAATGGAGCCATGAAAATCTGGTACGGGCTGGTGAGAGGTGGCATTTTGATCTCCGTGTTGATACAAGTTCAGGGAGGCGATTTCACGTTATTGATGCCGTGCTTCGCGAACCACGGGTCGACGAGAAAACACATTTACGAATGGCAACCATACACAGTCGAATTGCATGTGACAAATGCTTGGCAGGTATGCCAACCACTGCGCTTTAAAATTTGCCCCTTTGGAAATGCAAATTTCGTAGCTGTCGCAGTCTCCTAGTTAGCACACCGGTATAAAACATCGCTTGAAGAATGCCAACATATGTGGTATTAATTTCCTGATACGATGGCCAGGTAACCTGGCGAGGTAGGGTGCCCTTGTCATCTTGAGCCCGTGCATTGACGCCACGTGTAGATTGTAACGCCGTTAAGATAGATCACTACACCAATGTTCAGGCTATTACATCTTACGGAACTTTAGATCCTTCTTAGTCGAGAGCCCATAAAAGAGGGTGCGTTTCTGGCTCTGTGCTTTTGCTTTTCATCGTATCCCGTACTTTTGGCTCGGGCATTCTTGGGTGTATCCAACGAACATTTAGGCATCTATGGAATGAGCACTTTTTCATGGGAACATTCGACTTCGCTGTCCTGGTGTGGCTTTTCGCCTCTTCCTAACGTTCTAAGCAGAACAACATTACCTGGCCAACTTCGCGCAATACCGAGCGAAGTGGCCTAAATATATTATCATGACCTATAATGGGAAAAGCGCTTAGGGCGCTTGCGCTTGTTGCCATCTTGCTACACAAGCTTCCTGTTGGCACTTGCGCAGCTGGCGAAGAACAACGATAGTCTGTCATATAATCTACATATTGTGTTAGTACCTCCAGGAGAGCTTCATCTGTTTGTTTTCGCCTGAGGATGTCGGCTAGGTCTGAACGAGATGGATACACAGGGCCGCGGGGCAATCGTTTGATGCGCAAGGTGAATCAGAGCCCGTTTCCTTTCTACAAAGAATTGCCCCAGCGTGCCTGCTTGCTTGACGAAAGGGTCTGCAGGTCGGTTAGTGCATGCCGTCGAAGTCGCATAGCCAATCACTCAACGTGGCCCGGAGGCAGGGGTGTGTCAATGCGTCTACAACCGTTCCGAGTTCCTCCATGTCTTCAGCGCAGGCTGAGGGGGCCGACAGCACGGCGCGCGCACCATACATAACCGCCAGTGCCCCCTCCCCTCCAACCATCCATCAACAGCGTTGACTGCGTGCTCTGCCGTCCTCCCCCACCCAGCACATTCGCATAGTGCCCCACGCGTTTTCCCCCCCACACATGTTGAACGCAAGAAGAATCGCGCTCCCCTCTCCCCATTCACCGTTCGCCGTTTCCCCCCTCCCCGCCCTCGCCATCCCCACCCCTCCTCAACCCCTGCCAGATAGATGTGAACCCCCTGTCGCCTTCCCGTCTCATCGCCTTACCACGACACACCCGTAAATCCCACCGCTCCCTCTCCCCCCACTTCCTTTACCTCACTTCACATCCCCGCCTACCCCTTCGTCTCTATGCCACCCCAAATTCCAATCCAATCTCCCTTCTCCCCCTCCCTTCTCCCTCTCCTCCCTTTCCCCCCTTCCCTCCTCCTCCTCCCCCTCCCCCTCCCCTCCCCCTCCCCTCCCCTCTTCAGGCCGAGGCCTTAGGCATGGAAACCCGAAACGTGTCCAGCGCCTACCTCCTCCCCGTCCTCAACAGCCGCGGCGGCGGACCGGGCACACTGTACGGCGGCGCCTCCCACACCGCCGTCGCCGGCGGCGGCTCCTACCACGAGACCATCAACCTCTCCCCCAAAGCCATCACCGCCCTTCGCACCACCAAGATGCTTCAATCCCTCGGCCAAAAAGTCATCTTCTCCAACGACCCGTACGTCAACTCCGCCTTCGAGTCCCTCATCACGACCCGCGTCTCCGGAGTACCCCAGGACCTGGCGCCCGACCTTACAGAGCTCATCACCCGCAAGCCGCCCGGCGGGAAACTGAGGCCCCGTGGGTCGAAGGCGGCCGCGCTGAAGCGCGCCAAGCGCCTCGTGGGCGCGGGGGCAGTGCCCGTGGCGTCGGAGGTGCCGTTCGCCGATGCGCTGCGCGTGTGCGACCTGGAGCGGGATAAGGGTGCGCTGCCGGCGCTGCTGCGCGCCTACGTGTTCAACAAGGCCCGTGTGGTGGTGCCCAAGCTGGAGGAGTACTGTGAGGCGATGGGGCGGTTGAGACCGGCGCCCATGTTGCAAGCGGCGGCGCTGCTCATGCAGGCGGGGTACTTCTTTGCTGCCATCAAGGTATGAGGGGTAGTTGGCGAGTGGGGAGGGAGTTTGGGGTGCTGGACGAGGCGGATTGCTGAGAGGACGGCAGGAGTGCTGTTTCGTGCCTTGCTTTCGGGGGCGGGGTGATGGGACGAGGGGGGGGGGACGATGGGGAGGCTGGAGGCGTCTGGAAGATCAGATGGCGACAGGGAGGGGCGACATTTGCAGGAGTGTACAGGGAAAGGGACAGGGATGGGAAGGGATGTGAACAAGTGGTAGACTTGGAAAGGGAAAGGAAAGGGGTGCGAAGAGGGTCAGGGGTGGAAACACCTACTGGGGTGAGCCTCAGTCCTGGACCGGACCATGACTATGTGCCCTTCCTCCTCCTCCTCCCCTCCTCCCCTCCTCCTCTTCCCCTCTTCCTCCTCCTCCTATTCCCTGTCGCCTCCTCCTCCTATTACCTCCCTCGCCTCCCCCCCTCTTTGCCACTTTCACAGGTGGTGTACAGTAACTACGACGCGCTCCAGGCCACCCTCACCGAGCTGGAGTCCCTCATCTCGAATCACATGGACTCGGGGGACTGGGACACCGCGGCAGCGCTGTGGAACTGGCGGGACCCGGACAGGGAGCTGTTCCTGAAGCAGGTAAGGGGGGAGAGAGGGGGAGGGGGAGGGAGGAGAAACAGGGTGTGGGTGGGTGGATGTGGGTGTGCTTGAATGTAGGAAATGACGATACACAGGATGTTAATGTTGATGTTGATGTTCTTGTTGTTGTTGTTGTTCACCCCTCGACAGTTCAAGGAGCTGAAGATCATCGCCTACTACCTGGATGTCCGAAAGCAGCTGAGGGCGCTCAAGGAGCAGGGGGTGGTGGCGCTGGCCCGCGTGGAGAGGGAGATGCTGCTCAAGGTGAGGGACGGGAGAGGGGAGGAGGGGGGAGGACTGCTAACCCGGGCAGGGGGGGGGAACAGGACTCAAAAAGCCGCAGCGATGCAAGGCCGCAGGTCTCCACATCGTCCCCTCCCGCCTTCTAACCCTTCACTGACTGCTGGTTCTCCAACTGTAATTTGCGAAGGATTTTACCCGCCTCCGTCACCCGCCTCCGTCACCCGCCTCCGTCACCCGCCTCCGTCACCCGCCTCCGTCACCCGCCTCCGTCACCCGCCTCCGTCACCCGCCTCCGTCACCCGCCTCCGTCACCCGCCTCCGTCACCCGCCTCCGTCACCCGCCTCCGTCACCCGCCTCCGTCACCCGCCTCCGTCACCCGCCTCCGTCACCCGCCTCCGTCACCCGCCTCCGTCACCCGCCTCCGTCACCCGCCTCCGTCACCCGCCTCCGTCACCCGCCTCCGTCACCCGCCTCCGTCACCCGCCTCCGTCACCCGCCTCCGTCACCCGCCTCCGTCACCCGCCTCCGTCACCCGGCATCCACAGGGTCTTCAGAACCCCGTTATAGCGCCATGGCGTTCTCTTCCCCTTCTTTCCCCTCTTTCCCCCCGGGCCATTGTCTTTCTTTCCCGGGGTTTCTGTCTCTCCAGCCCGCGTGTGCTTCCATCCGCATGTAGGTTTTGTCGCCCAACTGTCCCTTCCTCCGTACTTCCTAGAGACCCGTAAGACTGGGCCCCACCTCCCTCCCTTCCCCACCTCTTACACACTTCGGGCCCCCCCCCACCCTCACCCTCACCCCCACCCTCACCCTCAACCCCACCCGACCCCAGGTTGTTCAGGACTTCCGTATGCAGCTAGCTGAGGACTATGCCGCCTACCAAGCTCAGCTAGCCAAGGAGGCGGAGGAGCGGGCCAGGGCCAAGGCACGACTGGAGGCGCAGGTGAGGAAGGCGGGAAGCTTCCTTCCCCCCCGCTTGCACCCGCACCCCCACCCACCCGGGGGCACCAACCCCCACAACATGACCACCCTCGTCCATCCACCCCAACCCACCCTCTCACTCCCTCGAAGTGCAAACCACCGATCCCGGCGTGCAACACGATACACAATACAACACGCAATACATAAAAATACAAAACGAAGGTATAAATACCATAACTGCAAACCAAAACCGACAGTTTCAGCGGCAAGACCGCCTAACCGCTAACAACACCGCTAACAACGCCTGCGTTTTATCGGTGTGCGTTACCAGGCGCGTGCTGCCGCCGAAGCCGCAGCTCGCCGTGCGGAGGAGGCGGCCCGCGTGGAGGCCCGCGCGCGCGCAGCCATGGAAGCCAAGGCCCGTCGCGAAGCGGAGATGCGAGAGAAGGCCAGGGAGATGGAGCGCAAGCGCGAGGAGGTGCGCCGGCGCGCGGAGCAGGGCAAGCATCGCAGCCGCTCCTCATCCTCCATGCGGAACCTGCGGCCGCCGGAGTACGCGCTCATGGCCGGTGCGGCGGCGGCCATGTTTGAGGAGGGTGCGGCGCCGCAAGACGACGGTCCCCTGGTTGAACCTGAGCCGACGGAGTTGGACTTGACGGATCCGGGCACGATGACTGAACCAGGTGTGGAGGTGAGTGAGGTGATGGCAGCGCCGGGGGCGGAGCTGAGCGACCCGGTCGTTGCGGCGGAGGCGGCGGATCGGGTTCCGGATCTGCGAGTGAGCAGCAGCTCCGGCGGCGCCGGCAGCCGCCGTGCGTCGGCAGGCAGCAGCGGCGGCAGCAGACACAGCAGCATAGTGGCGCGCTTGTCGGAGGACCTGGAGATGGCGGCGGCGGCGGCGGCGCTGCTCCAGCCGGAACCTGAGCCGGAGCCGTTGCCCGTCCGGCCGCCGGTCCGCGTGCACCTCCGGCCTGGGAGCCAGGGACAGCTGCGGATGCAGTTGAGCATGGACGGACGGAGAAGCTCGTCAGAGCCGTCGGCATCCGAGTCGCAGCAGCAGGTAGCGCAGGAGTCGCCGCTAGCCGGACGGCCACCGGTCCGCGTGCACCTTCGTCCCAACAGTCGCGGCCTGAGGATGCAACTGAGTGTGGACGATTCGGAGGCGGAGGAGCTGAGGCGGGGTATCGAGGACTTGCGACGGAGTATGAGTCAGGAGCGGCGGCGAACCCACGAGGCGGCGGAGCAGATGAAGCAGATGGCGAAGAAGGGCGGCAGTCGGCCGTCCACAGCCACACCCGCCATCCGCCTCAACATCAACCTGCTAGCGGGAACCACGGATGAGAAGCTAGCGGTGAGCCTCTAGGGACCTGAGGGGCAGGCCAGGGCGGGGCAGGGTTGGGGAGGGCGGCTTGGTTGTATGCTGGGGATCGTCCCGTCCCTCTACTTGGTTTGTCCGACATTATGGATTTTGGTATTTCCTGTCCGACTTCCTCCTGCTTCCATTATCAGCTGCGTGGATTCCATTTGTGGTCCGCTGTGAGGAGGGCTAGGATTCAGGGGCATGTGGGTGGGTGGGATAGCGTGATGTGCTCGCCAGGTGGGTTTTCGGATCGCGTTTTCCCCCCATGTGTGTGTGTGTATGTGTGCGTGTGGTGATGACGTCCGTGGCTTCCATGCGTGCCAACTCTCCCTGCAGCGCCGCCTGCTGTGCGTCGCACCGCACCGCACCTCACCACCCTGACGCGATGTGATGTGATGTGATGTGTTGTGCCTTAGCGTGTGCTACTACTATAACTACTAAAGTTATGCTGTGATGGTGCCTTTCATGCGGCGCGCGGTGCAGATGATGGAGAAGGCGCTGGAGGCCGAGCGCGCTGAGTTCCAGAGGCGGCTAGAGGAGGAGCGGGCGGCGCTGGCTGCCGTACTGGCAGCGGAAAAGTCAAAATTGGAGGAGCATCTCAACACGCAGAAGAAGCTTTTTGACGAGGTAGAGGTTTGGCTAAAGGGTTTGGCGGACCGAACCAGTCAGTGCCAACATGCCGGTTGGGTAGCTGGATGATGACGATGATTATGAGAGAGAGAGTATGAACATTGTGGAAAGGGGTTGTAAGATGAAGATGAAAAATGAAAATGAAGATAAAGATGAAGATCCGGAAGGGGATGCGGTTTAAATATAGGATGATGTAGGAAGGGGGCAACATGGCATGTATATATACAGGACGGACGCCGGGCCATGCCGGTGCAGACGAGCTCAGAAGGCGGGGAATGTGGGCACGGCATGTTTTGCGGTGCTTGCCTGGCCGGGGCGGCGATTCTCGACGCACGCCACAACACCCCACCCCACAGCTTCGTGCCTCGGGACCCCCTGCCCCGGCTACGAATGCCTTCCCTACCCTTCTCAACAGGAGCGGCAACGGTTGCTCCGAGACCTGTACGAGCAGCAGGGTCGTGATCTGGATCAGCAGCTGTTGGCGTCCAATCAGAGCATCGAGCAGCTGCGGCAGCAGAGGGACCGGTTGCGGTCCGCGGGGGGTAACGCGGGGGGGAGCCGCAATTCATCGGCACGCAATGCGGCGGCAGCGGAGGAGGCGGCGAGGCTGGAGGGGGCGGTCAAGGTGAGCTGTGGGGACTGGGGAGGCTGGGGGGTGTTCCTTGGCTTTGTCTTGGGAGTGAGTGAACGTTCGTTTTTCTTTCTCTCTCTTTCTCGGTTTGTCTGTCTGTCTGTTTGTCGGTCTGTCCTGTGATTGTGATTGCCAGATGGTGGTGGTGTCCGTGGTGGTGATAGGCGGAAGAGGAGGCACAAATAAGATTATTATAAACGTGCGGTGCAAGCAACGACCCTCCGAGCAGCAGCGAATGCTGTGCAAGGTCTAAATGTACGAGAGCTGACGACAGCTGACCTAGACCTGCTGTGGACCAGCGGGCTCGGCAGCTGCTGCCGCTACAGAAGGTACTGAAGGACAGGGGGAGATAGAAAGAAAGGAGTTTTCTTTAAGGCGCGAATGAATGAATATGTGGATGAATGAATGGATGAATGAATGGATGAATGAATGATAGGCACTTAAAATACAAACCGGAGCCATTCCTTCTCCCTCCTTCGCCAAACCCCCCTCAAACTTCCCCTTCCTTCAGATGCTTGAGAAGAAGTTGGATGACGAGCTTTCCCATGTACGGCAATTGGAGGACGAGAAATCCCGGGTGGAGAAGGAGCGGCAGGCGCTCGAGGCGGCTCAGAAGATGTTGGAGGCGCAGAAGAGCCAGGCGGAGCTGGAGAAGGTATGTTCGTGCGTGCGTGTATGTGTGTGTGAAGGAGGGGGAAATCCTTTGCAGGAAGCACAAGTTAATGGCCGACTGCTTTGGGAATCGGTGGGTAGCGGAGGCCTGTGTCGCACTACCAGCTTGAAGGCGGGAAGGACGGAGGGGGACGGTGGTCTTTCTCCGCCTCGTGATGCAGCTGGGGTTACCTGGGTTTGGGGACGAAGCTGCGTTTAGAGCAATGGAAGAAAGAGAGAGAGAGAGGGAGAGAGAGAGCATGGTGCAGGGTAAGGGAAAAGTAGTGAGGAAGCACACAAGGCCAACGCGGCCTTATTGCGGTGATAGAGTGTCAAGCTCGGCACCGACTTAATTTAGCTTTGGGCTTCTTGGCTTGAACTTGGCTCTCCGATAACATCATCGCTCCTCCTGGGGGACAACCCTTTAGGGGACGATGAACCTCCTCCTGCTGCTGCTGCTGCTGCTGTCCCTCTTCCCCATCGTGGCCATGTCCGAGTCAACGGCCATCCCCTCCTTTCACTGAGCCGTACACCCCCCCTCCATCTCCCTTTCCCTCCTCGTCTGCCCTCAAAAAGGCCAAGGCGGAGCAGGAGAAGGGCGCGCTGCAAGAGCAAATTGCCAAAACCATGCGCATGTTCCAAGAGCAGCTGGCGCAAACGGTCAAGATGGCCGCCATGCTGCAGGCACAGCGCATCTTGGGCGCAGCTACCGGCGGCACAGCGCCACCCCTAGCCGGCCTGGGCGGCACCCTCATGGCGCAGTCCTCCAACGGGACCATCGGTCTCAACACCACGGGCATGAGCGGCCTTCCCGGGCTGATGTCGCAGATGCCATCGGGGCTGGGGAGCTCTCAAGGTCCCTTGATGGGCACTGGGACGTCGACGCCCGCGACTGCGGGGCTCAGCGGGACGTTGTCGGCATCTCCGACGATGGGCGCCGCCGCGGCGGCGGCGACGGCGTCGATGTTGCCGCAGCCTCTGGCGGCGCTGCCGAGCGATGTGGACGACCCGCCGACTCAAGACGAGATTATTGCGTACGGCAAGGTATGTGGTGGTTTAAAGCTTTTCTGCTGTAATAGCTCTGATGGGGGGAAGGAGGTCGGTCGAATAATGGACCATTTACATTAACAAAGGCAACGAGCACAGAGTCCGGGAGGGCAAGCGTATGGGGGAGAGGAGAAAGAAACGCCGAACACTGCCCAGGTCTTCTCGGTGCTGAATTTGGCAGCTGTAGGTGCGGTCCCAGGTAAGGCAGGTGGTGAAAAGTAGCAAAAACGTGAGGAGCAAAACATCGTAAACGGCAAAAAACACAGGCTGGGGCACAAAATGCCCTCGTACCGACCTATGGTGCCCCCTGCAGAGTACAATCTTGTTGACCATCCGCTTGGACCCTCCTCTTAAACCCTAAAGTTTTACATCACACTGCTCAACCGCCCACCTGACGCAACACGGCCCGCACTGGTCCCTGACCCTCCGGGGGGGGGGGGAAACCTCCTGTAACAGTGGGACACACACCTTTGCCGTGCTAACCGCCTATATCCCGTAACTCCGTACTTTTTCCCGTACTCAAAACACTTGAACTCCTCTGCAGTACCTTGGCATGGACGTGTTGGAGGACGCGGACCTTTTGTACATCGCGGAGTGGGCTCTGACCGCCCCCCTTCCGGAAGGCTGGACGGTGCACCTGGACGGTGAGGGCAACGAGTTCTTCTACAACGCCGCCACAAACGCCTCCACGTACGAGCACCCGATGGACGAACATTACCGTGCCTACTATCGAAAGATGAAGGAACAGAAGCAGCTTGCCAAGATGTCCGACGCGCAGCAGCAGCAGCAGCAGCAGGCGCAGTAGGGGACACCGGGGGGAGGGGGGGAAATTCCGCTGTAAGTTACGGAATGGGGGTACAGGGGGGGGAGTACAATGCAGCTACGTGGCATTGGCGAGGGAAAGTAAGGGCGGCGCATGCTGTGTGGGGTTGTATGAGCGGGCGTGGATATGATGCATGATGGGTATAAGATGTGCTTTAAACAAGAAAACACATGACAAGCTGGAACGGCTTTTTGTCGTGTATCTTGGAGCTGTGCAGAGCTGGTTGGTAAGGATTACTCTACTCGCGCTTCTCGCCTCTCGCCTCGCGGCCCGGCAAAAAAGGAGGTGTGGTGCGGTGTGGTGCGGTGGGTTGCCGCGGTGCAGGATGTGGTCTTTCCGATATGTGTGCGAAACTGTGCACTGACGACGTCCCTTAAGTCTCGAGTCTTAAGTCGGCGGGATAAATTGCCTGCTAGGTGTTCTGTGCGATACGTGCGATGTGCAATACCTGGGTTTGGGCCACAGCCGTTCATGTTCCGAAGGGGACAGAGTAGTAGCGCACAGGCGTTTATGCGGGCATGAGCAGGGCGGTATACAAGGAATGGGATGTCGTTCATTATCATTATCATCGCGGTGGGCTTCCACGCGACGCCGATTCGGTCGACTGGAGGGCTGATATGAGCTAATAAGACTAAGGGGGGAGCAGCGTTGCTGCTGCGGCGGCGGCCCGTAGGCGTTACGTGGAGGGAGGGCAAATGCAAGTGTGCGTATTGGGGCCTCCCAAGCAGGAGGGAGACTTTCAAGAAGTTTGCTTGATGGCTTGAAATACTTCCTGGATTCGATACCAGCTAAAGTAAGGCAAGAGGGTACCCGGTATGAGCCAGGTGCTTTTCCCACCCAGGTTTGGGGTTGGGAGCCAGGTAAGGGCCCGAGGGGCGCCCTGGTTCCTATCGGTGGCGTGTTGGAATGGAGGTAATGGAGGAGAAAGGGGCGGGAGGTGCGGCGTATGGGTTGAGGTGGTGTTGTGGGGCATGCCGGGGGCCCGGTCGCATTAGTAGGAAATGGTTCATACATAGCGATATGCAGGGCGGATGTGTCCGAGGGTGTTTGCCATTGCGCGCCCGGCAGGTGTGCTATGCGTGCCTGTGTATGTATGTATGATGTGTGAAACAGGGGGGTGTATCTTCGCCCGTGGCAGCTACCCTGCGAAACCCTGCCTTCCCCGCGGGTATTTCGGGGCACCCTCAATCAGTCACCCTAGTCAACTTCTCAGTGGATCGCTCAGGTTCCGCACCCACCACCAGCATCCAACGGAATCTGCCGGATCGACAGCGGCCCAACTCCGTTCCTGGTCGGCTCGCAGGTTAACCTTATCCCAGGTCACCACCGTCCATCAACTAGGGGCGCAATACCTTCCACCATCGAAAGGATTTTTGACCCTAATGGAAATCGATCCCGGGATCTCCCGGGGGCAATGGTCGCGCGTTACCAGTAGTGCCAAACCCTATGTATGTATGTATGTATGTATGTATGTATCCGAGTGTGTTTGAATGGTAAACAACCTCTCTGCCGACACGCGCAGAAAGGTGCGTGTGCCGCGGGCTTACGCCTGTATGTCTGTCTGTATGTGCGCCTATGGAAACAATACCCATGCGCCTATCGGCTGCCGCAAGGGGACTGCCGCTGCCGCTGTAGCTGCTACATCCATGCTGCTGCTGCTGCCGTGTTTTGCGGCTGGCGCGTTATGCACACCAAATCCCAATCTCCCAACCACTCCACCGGGCTCCATCGGGCAACCCAACTACCTGCCTGAAGTTGCGCGCACCTTCCTCAACGCCATCGCTCCGTGGATTGGCTGTTACACTCAACTACTCTGCTGTTACACTTGTGTTTGGGTTGCTCAACTTTTCCGTAGTCGCTGACCCGTATCTTAACAGTGTGCTACACGTCGCGTATGATAATAGAACGTTGGGGTCGCCGTGCCCGCCCGTCTCACACGGGACAGGGCGGCCCCTCCTGCACGGGAGTGGCGCATGATGGGGCCTTGCCTGGACTTGACCTGGCATATGTGGCACCCAGGTGTGCACGCAGGTTGTTGCGCGTTGTACGTGCTGTGTACGCGCCATGAACATAACGGTGTTGTGCTCGGGAATTAGAGGCTCGTGTGGTGATGCTGTGGGCGTACCCGGTGCTGTATTTGCCTGTTGCCGGCTCAGCGGAGCGGTCTCACGCAAGGACGTTTACTTCACTGCATCTAGACACAGAGCTAGCGAACAATCCGCTTCAGGTGGCCTCGCTCGAGCCTAAGAGCTGGGCCGTGGCCGTGGCCGCCGACTCGGGGGCCGGGAGGGACGATGTATGCGGCGATTTCCTGTCTTGGGCTTCATGTCGTGTGGCTCGCGCTCCTTTTCCCCCGGGGTTCCGCTTCTCGCCGAAGGTGGGCAGGGAAGGTCGTGGGGAGGCGCCCTCGGCGTTGTGTGATTTTGAGGCGTTGGCGCGCCCAGCGCAGCTTGGATGACATGGGAAGGTGCCGTACGTGCAGTTTGCCGTACGAGCATTTGGGGTTTGCTACCTCTCTCGTCCGTGCGCGTCTTCAGTTTGAACGAGTGGCGCACGACGTTGCATATTTGAATCGAACTGAATGAAGCTCCTTTAGGTAATAGAAAGCTCCTCCCAGGTTTTAAGGAATGTTCGGCAGCAGCGTAGGTCGGCGAATCGCTTATTTTCTTTTGGGGGCTCTTTAGGTATGAGGTGGAGTTTGTGTGGACTTATGTGTGAGACAAACAATGCCCAGCTAGTCGCGTGTATATGTGTGAGACCTTGTGTGAGAATCAAAGGCCTCAAGAGCGCAACCCAGCCGGGGCTAAGTACGAAAACATCTTGCGGTCACCTTCCGCTCGGAGTGTTTTCGCCGACTACCCACCGTCGCATGTCGCCTTGTTCTCCCCAATGACCTTGCCTCCTATGTCTGTTGGTGGATAATCTCTCAGGGCCGTGAGAGCCACATAAACAGGAGGGCTTGGAAATCCAGCGCAATCGCCTCGGCGTTGGCGTTCCATTTTTTGCAAGGTAGCTTGCCTGACCCGGCTCGACTCGACTGTGTAGCGCATCCTGTTCCGTCTTGTCTGGCGAACACCCCCGGGGCTCCCGGTCGTCGATATCTTAGGTGTGCTGTGGATAACTTGGGGCGCCTTGTTTACATCGTTACATGTGATACATATCGCCAGAAGGTGACTGTACTGCCAGTTCCGACCGTCGGTTGCCGTCGCAGCAACCAAGGGACTTGCTGTAATATCGTTCACGTGCCGTTCCCGAATCCTCTACCTTTGCTCTCCTCCACCATCCCCCCCCGGTAGCTGCAGTGGCACTGGTGGTATGCACGTGTCTGCGCGAAGAAGCAAGTTTCTTTTTAAGACGGGGTTTGGCTAGTCCCCGGTATGACAGTGCAGGTACCCCGCAAGCTGGGCTTTGGCTCTGGTCCCGAGCATCAGGCGCGCCATTAGACGCTTGGCGTGGTCGGACCTCAAAGCCGGCGTAGAGAAGTAACACGTTGATGTCTCGCGCATGGTCGAGCCATGATATTGGACACTCGGGAAACCAGCAACGAACGCCAACACCGCATGTGCCCTGCTGTGCTGTGCAGCTACTGCAAGTTGTGCATTACTAACCCCCCGCCGTCCTCTCAAACAAACATGTGGCGTCGCAACACGTCGGAATTTTATCAGTCAGCCCTTGAGGCTCAAAACCACGCATGCCTCGCTATGGTGTGCAGGACGGCGTTTGAGCTTCTCTCCCGATTCATTGCGACGTTCGCTGCGCGCACATAGATGCCTCCATCGGCCTTGGTGTTGGAATTATTAAGTTGATCCGCACGGTCCGTATCCTTAAGAGACGGCGCCATATCACGACAACGGTGGCACTAGCACAACTTTTGCTACGATCATCGAATGCTCAGCCAAGGAGACGGTCCTGCCAGACCTCATGCCTGCCATTTATTCTGCTAACAACGCAAGCTGCGGGGCCTCATGGAGAGTCAACTTGATCTTTGTGTGTCGTTCTAAAACCACAGCAGCGCCTGGAATACAAATTTCGCAACAATAGAGCGTTAAAGATAAAACAATTATATTTCAAATGACAGGGCAGGGGAGGTGCGACTAGCGAAGACAAAAGGTGCTCTCAGACCCTCGATACACCTGCATCCTTTGATAATGATTGTCACAAGGACGTATACATTTCTAACTTGACCTAATAGTTTAAAAGAGTTTAACTGCCGATGGTTGAGCAAAGCCAAGCGTTCCTGTGTGCCTTGCTTGTGCTTTAGCGTGATGCGAGTATACTCCTCGGGACATTCTACTTTGGACACGCGCCGTAATTTGGAATGGCGCAATATGGATTTAAGCTGGAAATTTGTAGGTTGTAGCTGGTTGATGACATGCCCGATCTTTGCAACGTCCTCAAATCGTGCACTGCATGTGCGAACTGCGTTTCTGCTGCCCCTCACTGGCTTAATCTCTGCTACCATAGACGTTGCGCACAACTGGCAAAGAGGATTATCTGTGTTCCGAGAGACCGTACGGAACTGGCGTTCCGCTAGGGGCACTTAGGACCCGGCCTAGAAACTGTCAGCGGTTTGCCTTTATACTGCCATTTGCCTTCAAAACACTTAAGTATGCTTAAATGAGATTTAATTACGGCTCGCTTGCGAGTTTCGCCTTTTGACGACTGTTTGCTTGCAAGTCACCACGACTGGACCGAGCATGGCCTCTCCCAAGAAGCATCGCAAAAAGAAGAAGCAAAATAATTCGTCTTCATGTTTCCTATGCTGCTTTGCACCGCCTAAGAGGTAAAGCGACTCCTGGTTTTGCCTGTTTCCATTCCTACGCAACCGCCTTCAGCGTTGCCGCTATCTTTCCTGCTGCAATGCCTCCAAATCCAACAGCCATGCAAATTCTAGCAAGAAACTTGGTGTGGAAGAGAAATTGAAGGCATCACCCGAAAGCACGTAAGTGGTTGCATGTCGCCATGTGGCATACCAGAAAGTCGCCGCCTTGTTGTGGTTGCTTACTCCATAGCGTCTCGTAGAATTTTTCAAGTGCTTTACCTAAAAACTAGTTGTGGCTGCAGGTCCAAGAAAGGTACCACTCGCAATGTCAACATCTCCCACGGACCGCCCCAGCCAAGCACCCCCGATCAGCAACAGTAAGCTGGACACGCTAGGGTTCCGGATCCGTTCAGCCCCCTTGTTCGGGCTTAAGACCGCGAGCTCTCCCACCCATGATGCGCACCTGGCCAGCACTGTGTCTCACCAGCCCAGCTTCAAATCTCCGCTTTACTTGGCAATTCTTTGTTGCACGTATGTGCTGCATGGCAACCAAACTTGCTGGCGTTGGCTTGAGGGGGAATCGCGGCTGCAACAAGGAGATGGTGAAGGGAGGGAGGGCAGGCCCAGTGAGCGGATCACCACCGTCCGTAGCCGTCTTCGCCTAGTCCACAAAGGGACTGGTCTTGTATCTTGCCTTAGCCGTGTTGTCAGCCCATGCTCACATGCGTGACCTCCCGCGCGCCAGGCATCACACTGAAGCTTCACACAAATGGCACACACATACACACATACACGCACATACACACACATACACACACAGGCATGCACCTCACGTGCAACCCTCGCCACACGCCCGTTTCGACAGGGTCGGTCCTAAACAGGCTGATGCACCATCGGCACCAGGTGCTTCTCAACTTCCGGGGGTTGAAGATTTGGACTGGAAGGACAGTCACTACGGCATGGCCGAACAGGTGCGTAGCTGCATACGCAAAGGCATATCCTTTTGGTCGCGTCGCGTATATCAGAGCCAGGCAGGTTGCTGCTGCGCAGCTGCTGCTGTCCATAACGAGGTGGCCTGTGTGGCGCTTTACCTAAATAACTAGCACTTTAAGGTCGCGATGGTGGTGTTGGTAATAGACAGCTATCCAGGTGATGCTTTCCTTATTTATAAACATGGCCGAGGAATGGACATAACATGATTTTGCGATCTGTCTCTTGCCATTGCTGCGGGCTCACTCTGAAGTGTTCCCCTGTCCCAAATCTCGGCCCAGGATGAGGTTTCGGAGCATGGTTCAGACTCCCAATTGCGGCTTCAGCACACTAATGCAGCGTTCGATGACCCCAATATTGGGGTCGGGCTCCGGCATGACGCTGCAAGCGCCCCATGGGCTTCTGCCCACCACAACGAGCTCTTCGACGAGCGCAGCCGCCCTGGCAGTCTGAGAGGAGGTCGCAGCGCCCCGGGTACCCCGAGACCAGGCCCCAGCCGAGGCTGTAGCCGTCCTGGCAGCCCCAACCGCGGCCGTAGCCGTCCTGGCAGCCCCAGCCGAGACTGTAGCCGTCCTGGCAGCCCCAGCCGAGGCTGTAGCCGTCCTGGCAGCCTCAGCCGAGGCTGTAGCCGTCCTGGCAGCCTCAGCCGAGGCTGTAGCCGTCCTGGCAGCCCCAGCCGAGGCTGTAGCCGTCCTGGCAGCCCCAGACGAGGCTGTAGCCGTCCTGGCAGCCCCAGACGAGGCTGTAGCCGTCCTGGCAGCCCCAGACGAGGCTGTAGCCGTCCTGGCAGCCCCAGCCGCGGCCGTAGCCGTCCTGACAGCCCCAGACGAGGCTGTAGCCGTCCTGGAAGCCCCAGACGAGGCTGTAGCCGTCCTGGCAGCCCCAACCGCGGCCGTAGCCGTCCTGGCAGCCCCAACCGCGGTCGTAGCCGTCCTGGCAGCCCCAGCCGAGGCTGTAGCCGTCCTGGCAGCCCCAACCGCGGCCGTAGCCGTCCTGGCAGCCCCAACCGCGGCCGTAGCCGTCCTGGCAGCCCCAGACGAGGCTGTAGCCGTCCTGGCAGCCCCAGACGAGGCTGTAGCCGTCCTGGCAGCCCGAGCAGCCGTCCTTACAGCCCTTGTTACAGTCGCCCTGGGCCCCGCAGCCAAAGCCCTGGTCCCCGTGCCGACCTCATCTCACCCGCAGCTTCAGCGGCGCAGAATTTCGGGACCCCAAGAAGGAAGAAGCAGTCTCGTGAAACTTGGCAGTACCATCAACACAACTACCGGCAGTCACGACCGAGGATAAAGCCACCACAACCAAGGCAGCGGCAGCGAGTGAAGCCGCCGGTGCCACCAAACAAGCCACCGCCGCCACCACCGCCACGGCCGAAGCCGCCGCCGCCGCCACCCGTCCCCAAACCGTGTCAACAACGGGTACCAAACCAGTACATGTGGCCCACTATTGCCTCTCGTACCAAGTACGGCAAGTTTGATGAAGCACCTCAAAAGCCGATAACGACGATGGATGTCCTGATGGTACAGAACATGGTGTTCATGGGAAGCCGGCGTACAAGGAGCTTTCGTGCTGTGAAGCTCCGTGTGGATTTTGAGTAATAAGCAGTGCAGCCACCAACGCTTGCCGTTTGTCACGGAGCAATACAGCAGCAGCAAGGGCAACAATAGCAGCGGCAGCAGCAAAATAACACTTTGACTTGGCGTATGTTTGGTAGCAATAGGCTTGGACCTTGTTATTAGAGGGCATATGTGGCCATTACGTTGGCATTCACGTGCACCACCCCGACCCCGGCTCTGACAGCCTGGCAGGTAATGGTGAAGTTCAGCTCGGTAGGCGGCAGGTGGTCGGCAAGGCAATTAAAATAAAGCGCAGGGAAGGGCTTTCGTTGTGCGGAAGCTCTAAGGCCGCCCACAGAAACCTCTGGGGGGGGATGTATTTCCACGGGCACCTCCTGTGGGGGAATGAATGCATGGCGTGCCAAGTGGAGCATGCAGGCATGCATCATACAGAGGTCAAAGGAAAAGGGGGAGAGGCGCACAGATTGTCGGGTTCGCAAGCCTAGCCTTGCAGAATGGTTTTCGGAATGTGCGCTTTGGTGACAGGCAGACGCCACCCGCCACCTGACGAAACCCTCCCTGAGCGGCAGGTGCAGAACGCGACCTGACAAATCGCGTCTGGCTGGCTCTCCGCCTCCTTGCCCTGGTATGAGCGGTGCCGTTGTACATATCCCTAGGGTGTTGGCAGTTTGTGGTGTCGTTGGATGCGGTGTTCACATATAGGTAGCAGCAGGGCCACTTGGCACGATTGCAAGTGAGACATGGGAAAAGCAAGTAGTGGTTAAAGCAGAAGGTTGGTGTGCCTTGAACAAATGCATTGTGGACGTGGTGTGCGAGAGGGCAGGTGCAACACCCAACGAATGGACCAGCGCGCGGGCAGGGACAGAGCTTGACTGCTGCCACGGTCACGGCGCCAAGTATGTATGTATGTATGTATGTAGCTGATGCATATATTGAAGGGATGAATCCAAATTCCGGGGCGGGGTAGGCAACCGCGTGGATAACCCGCAACCCATGGTTGAACACGTATTGCACCGCCTCTTCTCTTCACAAAAATATTGAGCGTCACTGTCAGAGCACCATCAGTGTGACGTGAAAGAAACCGCACCTAACAGCTGCATCGTCCTTCTCGATGATCACCCTCGTGCCGCACGTCTCTCGCGTACTGAGTGCATCTTGGTATTTCCTACTATGACAGACTGGTGTTGGGCAAATCATGTCTACCTGTGCCTGTCGCATATTCGTTCTGTTTTTTCACCTGTTCGCTCCATGTGTGTCGTGTTGCCGCTGCCGCTGCGTGTCGGTGTGGTGCTGCTAGACGTATTCCAGCAGGTCACCAGTCGCATGCCGCACAAGCCACAATCCGCTCACATCTGCATCTGACAGTGTTTACTTTGTTTTAGATCTTGATGATACGGCCTTACCGTAAGGGCAGCAGTGCCTCTGGAAGGTGGCTGTCTGCCAGACAAAACCCTCGTGCGGGATATGCTGAACCTCTGATGATGATCGATGTATGCTACATACGCATCGTTGCCACCACATTGACGGGGTGCGTATTAGGCGGTATTAGCTGGATAGGGTATCTATGGGATACTTTTACCTGGCTTGCATGGTCCTTGTTATTACCACGAGGCACTTCCTTGCATCATCCTCGAGTGCGAGGCAAGCCCTCCCAAGCAGAACTCGATTGCCAGTTCATGGACCCCTCATGCGATCAAAATTTTTTATTTTTCTTTTATGTGTTGGGCGAAGCTGCAGCTGGGTATCCGTAGGAGTTGCAGGGGCACTGTGGGTCGATTAACTTAGCCCGCTGTGCGATTGTTACCCTTTGGTACCAGGCTCATCTTTCGTCCAGGGTGAGTTGTTACGTTTTTGAAACGAAAAGCTGTGCGAAGGCGTGTTTCTAGTCGGTAGTCAGCCGTGAGCGCGCGAGGTTCGGCCTCGGCCCGAACAGGTATGTCGCGGTCATCCGACCAATTCATCAGTCACAAGTCAAATCGGCGCTCTTGTTTTTTTTACTTTGGTGCCATGATGCATGTAGCAGCGATGATGCAACAGCTATGAGATGCTTGATCTGTGGCAGATTGGTGCTTGTTATCCTCGCCGTGCGTGAGCTCCAAAGCAGCAGCGCAACGGCAAAAGGCCGCCAAAAGGTCGGTTCACAGACTCACCATCAGATGGCAACAAATTTGTGGCAAGGTCGACGTGCTGCAGTGCGCCGCAGTGACTTGTTCAACGCACAACGAGCGGCAACCAGATGCCCATAGCAACTTGCTTCCAAAATCGCGGCTGCATAGTATGCACCTGCCCATCATGAAGCTTCAAAAGATGCTTGCGAAGTGCTTGCGTTGGCCTTGGTTGCAGGATTGTAGGGGGTTGGTAGTTTGTAGTTGTTGAGGGACTAAGACTGAGAAATGTGGGGCCAGTCACCTGCGAGTTAGGCACAGTTCCTTAAAAGCTCATTTTCACATCAGAGCGTTTTTTTAGCAGCGGTATGTGCGTAGCATGGATGCATACGGCACGCGGAAACGATGGGCGAAAGTCGCCGCAGCAGCATCGAAGTAATGAAGTGATGGCGATCATGGTTGAGCAACTCAGACCCTGTCCACTTGGGGCCAGCGCGGCGAAAGCGGTCAACATAAGATGCCTCAGGAAAGTGTAGGCTGGTGTAGGGGTTCCATGCACACGAATTCCCGGAGGGTGTGATAATAAGACGGGGGTTCTGCCAGTCATCATAAAATCGCTCCTTCAACGCTTCCATGACATATCTAAAATTGATCGGGTTCGACGACATGAAATTGACCTTAAATCCAGGTCCAGGTGCAGCTCCGGGAAGTGTCCTGAGCACCTGAGACCCCTTAGGTTCATGGCAGTTGGTGGCAGTACAATCAGAACGCATTGCAAGACGTATCTCCTCACGCAAAACGTTGTGAAACACAGTCCCCTTCGCAAGAGTAACCCTGTTCAAAAAACGGTAAATAAGCGAGGCCCAGTGAAGGTGGAGGGGCCATTGACCAAGCTACCTGACCAGTACACGGTACCCTCCCTGACCCAGAGAGATGCTTCAGAAACGTGCGTTGCAGCTCGGCCATGCAATTCTCTAGAGACCTTTCGGAAAGACCTTTCGAAGTAGCAGGACCGCCCATGCGCGTCAGGTGGTCGATCAACGACCTGGAGAATAAACTGCGATCCCCACACCTGGACTCCATACGACAAAATGGATCTAACCTGCATTTCAAAACAGATGAGCGCTATCTTAGGCAGAAGCAGTTCCCTCCTATGCAACTTGGCTATCAGCGCATGTGTGGTTCGCTGCCCCGCACTAAATCAGTGCAGGATTCGAACGGGGCATCCAGCCCGTAATGAAGCCCTAAATACCTAGCCCTGCCCACCCGCGGCATCACTTCAAAGTGCACAGTGTTTCCCACTGCTCGCTGCATACCGACCTTCACAAGGCTCCCAGTTAACGCACGCAGAGTTCGATTGGGGTGAAAGTCGACAACCTCACACTTACGGATATGAACGGTCATGCCAAATGCTGCGCTGTACCACTCCATGAGGGCCTTAAGAAGGCACATCAAGCGCCGGTAATTGTGAGCAAGCAGATTCAGTTCATGTACATATAGCTTTAGGGGAACACGTACCCATCAGCAATGGGCCACCCATCGGCACACATAGCTATTGGCGCTATACGACCTTCGGCCTCTACGTATTCCTCAAAGCCCTCGATGAAGAAACCGAACGACTTGGGGCTGAGGTGGCAGCCCCAAGTTTGGCCCCTTTAGCAGAGTCGAAAGGTTCCCCCAGCCTACAGTTGCTTTCACGCGCACACTAACACCCTTCTGTAGCTGGCCTCCAGAGCCCTCAGCATGGCGCCATGTAAAGTATACCGCGTTCCTTTAGTCTCAGCCAAAGCAGGCGACGCGGAACACGACCAAAAGCTTTCTTAAAACCAACCTTACAGACAAAGCGCGGGGTTGTATTGTCAGGGACATTCCTGTGCCGGTCAGTAAGGTGCCAGAGCAAGAGTAGGTTGTGTACGGTGCCTACCTTGGCCCGGAAACCACCCTGCAACGGGGATCGTGCATTGGCAACCCCAACCCATCTGCTAAGCCGGCGCTCCAAAGCACGAGGAGAGAATAGCTAGTAATTTCTTAGTTCAACATTTGCAACGCGTACGGCGGATCCGGAGCGCTGTCCCGGCGGAAGACATGATTGTCACTCGTTTATTCGAAAAACTGATGTATTCGTTGACAGTGTTAATTTACTTAAAGCCAAGCTTCATACGCATTATAACGCTTGGCAGGTAATTTGTTGAAGAACCTAAACGCGAGTTGCCATGTTTAAGCCATTACCGAAGCCTCACTTCTCTTTCTGAGGGACCACAATATTTTTGCAAGCTTCCGATGGCGGATGTGCAAGAGGATTCACCAATAGGGGGCCAAGGCCAGGCGGAAGGCGGCGCTCCGGCTGCCGACGAGGAGGCCGAGTTGGCGAAACTGCAAGCGGAGCTCTACGGTGGGGAGGGAGACGGCGGCGATGCTAGTGAGGACCCAGGCAGCGGAGCAGCGCAGGTGTGTCGAGGGTTCACTCGACAAGGCCCGACATAACGTACGGTTGGGACTCCGAGCTGTTACAGTTGCGCTGCGTTTTTACATTAATCTACTTGACAAGGAGTAGTTACGTAGCTTGTAATTTGCTAAGTGTGGAGCCAAACCAGTCGGGAAATACCAGGGCTTAGCAGACATGCCCTAAGTACTCCCTAAGTGCCTGTGTAACCTCCAGGTTTATTTTACAGCATGCCATATGTAGTTTTTTTTAGGTGGCAGTCACCGTGCCGGAGGGCCCAAATCTCGCCGGTTACGAGACTGCATCTCCCTGTCGATGTCTCCGTCGTTTTCCTGACAGCTGCTTCACCACATGTCATGATGTGGAGGAGGGTAACCACACATAAATAGTGGGAAGTATGACACAGCCAATCCTGTCGTTAGCTTCATCACCTCAGCGCCTCAGGGTCCTCTTCTGCCGGCCAAGACACACGCATCCATCCATAACCCAATCCACACTCGCCGCTGCCGCTGCTGCTGTGATGCCGCTAATGGGGCGACGTGTGTGATATTGGCAATGTGACTAGGTGTCTGTCTGTCTGTCTGTCCGTGTCCGTGATCTGGCCAGGGCGACGGCGAAGGGGGCGGGGAAGCAGCCGTCATGACTAAGAGTCAGATGAAGAAGAAGGCCCGGCTAGAGAGGTGAGCTGGGTCGCGGATGAGATGAAGGGGCATGGGTTGGAGGAGAAACCCGTACGATGGGTACGGACGGGGGCCGTGTTGTAGTGATGAGATAGCCTCTCGGGGTGTTTGTGTGAGAGTAGGGCCCCTACCTATCTACACCGCCGCCGCCGCCGTGGGAGATGATGGGGCTGGGGGGAAGGCGGTGATTCCCGTCATGGAGGAGAGGCGGATGATCATGGCCTCTCGTTCCGTCAATGCGATGCGATTTCGGGGGCCGCTCACCGCCCGCAGGATGTTGGCGAAGCGGGCCGAGTCCCGGCAGCGCGAGAAGGCCGTCCGGGCCCAGCGGAGAGCGGAGGCCAACGAGCGGAAGGCGGCTGAGTGGGCGGGGATGAGTGAGGAGCAGAAGGAGGCGGTCAGGAAGGAAAAACAGGTGGGGTTGGGGGGTGCGGAAGGGTTCGGGGGGAAAGACGAACAACAAACGAGTGAAGCTGCTGCCAGGGCAAGAGTGTACCAGACGTAGAACTGACCGAAAGGCGTCCGTGAAGACGGCGACCTCGGGATGACGTAGTGAAGCTGATGTCGGAAAAACTACCTACCTAAAAACCCAGGACCTAGGAAAAACTACCTACCTAAAAACGCCAGGACTAAAAAAGCAGAGAAAGCAGTAATGCCAAGCCGTAAAGTAGGTGTAGAAAAGTAGGTGTAGAGGCGGCGGAGAAGTAGTAAAGCACTGCTGTCCTAAAGCTGGAATAAAGTTTGCTGCTGGCCTGGAGAACTAGCTGATTTGCTGGCAATGAAAAGCTGTCGGTATGCAAGTGCTCCTCCCAAACCCCCCAAAAAACGCGCGACCGACCCGACCGACCCGAATATCCTAGTCCGGCTAGGGGTTCGGGGGGAGGCTAAGAGAGAAGAACCCTCCCCTTAAATGGATATGGCCCAACCACCGCGAGTGGCAACACTTTCCCCCCTGCCGCTGCCGCTGCTGGTGTTGTTGCTACTGTTGCATCTTTAGGCTCGTCTAGGGGCGCATAAGGACGCTGAGAAGCAACTCAAGGAGCGGTTGAAACAGGTGGGCGAGTGAGTCGTGGTGTGGGGGCCCATGGGTCGTTTTTTGAGAGGTAAGGGCCATGGGGGGCTGGGGGTTGAGGAACAGGGAGCTCAATGCAGGGTCCCGCCGTACTTCATTGCCACGTGTCGCTCTGAGGGTTTCGCGCTGTTGTCCGGGTAACATTTGGTGCTCATTCTCCGTCTTTTCCGTTACCCTCCCCGGCCCGGCCTTTGCTCCCTCTCCCCGGCCCCCTACGCATACACGCACACATGCACAACACACGTGCGCTCTCTCTCTCTCTCTCAGTCTCTGGAGACCGGACCCCGCATCGTGATCGACCTGGACTGGGAGAAGCGCATGAACGAGAACGACCTGCGGCACCTGGTTCAGCAGCTCAGCTTCTCCTACGCCGCCAACAAGCAGGTGGATAGACCCGCGCATATGGTGCTGACCAGCTTCAAGGGGGGAGTGGCGGCACTGGCCAACAAACTTAACCCGGGTAAAGGGGTGGGGGTCCGGGGAGAGCGGTGGGAGAGCGGGAGAATGGGGGGTTCGGGGACATGTGCGTCTGTATGTATGCGGGGGAAGAGGATCGTGGGCCGATGGGGGAATATGGTTTAAAAGGCGATGTATTTCAGCATGGGTGCTGTAGGGGTGTGTGGGTAATGATGAGTTTGGTGGCGAGCGTGGTTGGCATGTAGCCCGTGACCTGAGCATTAGGGCGGCGACAGGATGTGGGGATCTACCAGTCCTGGCGCTTCTTTACTTACCGCCTATACCCGGTAACCCCTCAGGTATGGATAAGTGGTTTATAACCCGTACGGAGCAGCACTACGGGGAACTCTTCAGCAGCCCCGAGGATAAGGCCCGACTGGTTTACTTGACAGCGGATGCGGAGGACGAGCTAGACGAGCTGGACGAGAGCAAGATCTACATAATTGGTGGATTGGTGGACCACAACAGGTAAAGGGTTAGGGGGTGGGGGATTGCGTACCGTACAAGGGGGGAAGGGGGTCACGAGGGCCTCGAGGGGGGATTGGATTGGAGGTGGGCAAGGAGGGGTTACAGGTACAGTAACCCCTGTTGAGGGAAAGGGGAGGACGGTGAACACGGGGCCTCCCGCCGAGCCCCAACCCGAGCCCCAGCTTCCCCCCCGCTGTCCTTCCCCTTGTTCGTGTGTTCCTTGGGTTTTTGCAGATCTGACCTGACCCTGGGGTTTGGCCTGACCCGACCTTGACCCGCCTCATCTCACCTCGCCTCAACCCGGACACCTAACCCCTCACACACCCTCACACACACGCAGTTCACACGCACACACTTCCTTTCAACCCGTCCAGGTACAAGGGCCTGTGCGAGGAGCAGGCACAAGCAGCGGGTATCCCCACCGCGAGGCTGCCCATCAACCGCTACGTGCAGCTGGCCAGTCGTGCAGTACTAACGGTCAACCACGTGTTCCAGATCCTGGTGGAGTACTACGCGCGCCGGGACTGGGTCAGCACGCTAGACGTCGTCCTGCCCAAGAGGAAACGGGCGGACTTGGCGAACCAGCCGCCGCCGCAGCAGCAGCAGCAGCGGCAGCAGCAGCAACGAGCTGTGCAGTCTGAGATCCCACCCTCAAAAGCGGCGCAGGAAGTGGCAGCAGGGGATGGTACTGCGCAATCCAATGGAGCGGGAAGTGGTTCGATGGCGGAAGATGATTTGATGGAGGCCGATGCTGGGAAGCTTGCGGTGGCGGAGGAGACGGTGAAGGGCGAGGGCGCGTCAGCGGCAGCAACGGAAGGGGGGAGCTCCGGAGCTGGGGAGGTGGAAGAGGGGAGAGGCACGAAGCGTAAAGCTGAGGGCGAGCCGGCGGCAGCGGACTGAGTATTGCAGACGGCTGAACGGGGTCGAGCGAAGTTTGGAGACCACGCAGGAGCAGGGCGACCGACCTTGTTACGAGGTTGAAGTGTGGGATGGGATGGGGCTTGGCTCAACCACATCGCTTGTATGCGGCACTTTGGCGGGACCCATGCGGCTCCGGGAGGTCCTTCAGGGTTTGCCTTGGTGTAATTAAGCGAAGGGTCGTTGTAAAATCATTTATGTACAGTGCAAGCCGTGCATCGCTGCAGGAGGTGGTTGAAGGTGTCACTCTTTGCCCACGGAGTAGCCGAGCTCCTCGTCCTTAGGTTTTACGCTGTATAGCTAGCATGGAACGGGAAGAAAAGCAGGTAGCAGCATTTGTTCGGAGGCCGTCTTAAAAGATAACATCCTCCCGCTTCCCTGCTTTGGATACTTTCCAGAAATTAGGACGAGTTAACAAGATTTGTGTATGATATTCTATGAGGAGGTGTACTGCCTGGGTGTCCAGTATTATAGACAACATCTGCTTTCGGAAGTACTTCGTCCGCTGAGTCGGCACGTGCACGTTCCAAGTGAAAATTTGCCCAGGTACCTGGACTGCAATATCAATACTTGCTAAGCTGCGTGCTTTTGTAGAGATTAATTGTTTTAGATTCTTGGGACGGAGGGCTTTAGGAGGACGGCGGCGTGTGACGCCAAGGAGAGCGGCTTGGCATTTGGCTGCCATGCCTGCCATGGCCAATGACACCGAACCGCTGCTTTCTGCCTACCACTTCAACTATACGCAGCGACCCCGCCGAGATAAGGCTTGGGCCCTAACGTACTACCTCTTGTTGCTTTTAACGCTTGGCTGGCCGCTGATCAACCTCGTTTTGAGGTATGACAAGCTACTGACATTGCATCCAGCGATCTGACACTGCAATCATTTGTGTCCATTTTGAGGTAAAAGGAAGGTCTTGCCTCCGAGGGCTGGCTACCACCCTGCCTCCACATATTGTTTCGAAAGCATCTCGCAGACGTTCTTTCTATTGGTAGTTGTATTATCTGTTTACCCGTTCTGCAAAGATTTCTAATTTTCGTGGCTTTGTTTGCCGGAACTGGGAATGCTCTGCTAGGACCGCAATCTCAAGTTTTGAGGTGTCAGCTATGATCTTTTAAATAAGCTGCAGCGCTGTTTTGTGTGGGGGGTTGGCCAGTGCGTTAGCTGCTAACTTCCACGTGGCCCAATGCAAACTGCCAGTTGCGGTGCTAGCTCAGTTTCTAACCTAACCGCGCAGCACCTGAAACATGCAAGATTAGGGACGCATGTTTAGTCCTACCCGTCATGGTAGCTGTCGTTTCAGGCCTTTGTCAACGGTTTGGAACCCTTGTCAGTGACCTTGCCCCACGATGATCAGTCAAACCTTCACATAGCGCATCAACGCCATGCACTCTGACCTGTGGAGCGGTATACTCTGCCGTGCGCAAGTCCATGAGGTCGCCCTTAAGTCCCGATGCATCCGCTTTCCTCTTGTTGCATGAGATGATGGCCACACAGCATCTATACCAACTGTTTCAGTTTATCCATTTCACAACCTTCAGCGACCACCTTACCTTGCCCACCCGCTCACCTTATGCCGGGCCATTCGATTCCTCCCTACCTGTCCATCCCCGCACCTGCGCCCCACGCAATACACACCACCCACCACCGAGGATACCCACACCTCTCTCCGCTCTTCCTGCCCCGCATTTCCACCCAGCTCCCAACGCGCCAACCTCTATTATCTGCCCCTTCCTCACTCCCCCCCTCGCTTTCTCCCTCTAGGCCCGAACTCATAGCCATCTTCTCCTCCCCGGACTACCTGGACGATCCCGACCACTGCCCCATAACCCTCGCCAAGGCCCCCTCCTCCCGCACCGCCTCCCTCATCACGCGAGCTACAGCAGCAGTCCAGGAGGCCATCGCACCAGCGGCACGTCGTCGACGAGCCATCGCGATATCCTCCTCCGTCGCCCCCAGCGCCTCCGCGCTGCTATCCCGGTCTACGGAATCAAGTGACCCCATCATCACGACCACGACTACCAGCAGCACCGCCAGCGCACTAACGGCGAATGATGAGCTCTATGAGGGGGAAAATAAGGGCCCCCTACGAAAAGGACACCCTCTGGAGTCCGAGACCTTCCCCAACCACCAAGAGCTACAACAACAAAACGGACAACCGGATAACTACCTCAACCAACCCCTCTCAACCCGCAGTTCCGCAAAGGACATAGTCAGGGAACCCACATCGGTGGTGTCCCTCACCGATCACATCCTAGAGCCATATCCAGATTCCGGCGCAGGACTTGATCTAGCTGAAGCGGGCCTCGATGCACACGTTTTGGCTTCGTCAGGCTTAGGGAAGAAAGCCCCGAAGCATAATAGCAGCAGCGACGGCGACAGCGACCGCGGCGATGGCGGCTCTTCCGACGATGGGCCTGTGTCCCGGACGTTGTTGGACTACGGCGGGTTGCTGCTGCTGATCAGTCTGGGTGCCGCGGTGGTGCTGGCGTTTCTGTTTGTGTTGGCCCTGCGGCACAGCCCCTGGGCCCTGGTGCTGCTGGCTTGTGGACTGCAAGTGAGCGCCCCCCTGGCGTCCGCGGTGTTGGCCAGCAAGGCAGGTGAGGTGGGCTGTGGAGCGGAGGGAAGGAGGGGGCGAAGGGAGGGATGGGAGGGAAGGAGGGTGGGGGACCTGCGAAGGGGAGGGACGGGGGAATCATATGTGATGATGCGACAGGGGGAGAGCGGGGAGGTTTTGTGATCGTGAGGGGGATTGCTTGCTGCTTGCGGGGAGAGGCACGCGACTGTCGGGGATGGTGGTACGGGACAGGACGGGGGAGGATAGAAGAAACTTAACTTTAGGGCGAGGGGACAAAGGAAAGAGTTCTCGCCCAGGCCGGGTAAGGTGGGGTCGGGTTGGGTTGGGTCGGGTCGGGCAGGTTGGGGTGAGTCTCTCGAGGTGTGGGTCTTATTACGACCGGAAGAGGGGAGGCGTGGAGAGGAGAGGACGGAACCCGTCCGTTGTTACAGTCATTCAAGGCCGACCAGCTGCGTGTGGGTCAGGAGGGAGGTTAGGGCCCTAACGGGGAAACCTTTGGAGGAGGGAAAAGGAGGGGAAGCGAGAGGCATGGAGTGTACATGTGCAATCTGGAGGTGGTTTGCATCTGGGTGTGTGAGGCGCCTCTGGACCTCACACTCCCGCTTCTCTCCTCCCCTTTCCGCTCCGCTTCCCTCCCCCCCTTCCCGCCTACTGGTCAGTTCTGCTTCTCTTTCCCTGGCAGCAGCTTCACTCGCTCGTGGTTCGTCTTTCCCCCCGCCCCCTTCCCGCCACCTCGGTGTGGGTGCATCCGGGGTGCATCCGCATTGCGCTGCTAACCTGCAAGCAGGCCTCGTAATCCCATCCCACGCGGCTTGCCGGAGTATGGGTTTTAGGGTTCTCCGAGGGATGGCGGTTGGACGTCAACCCGACAGCACTGTTGGACAACGGTTTGGCTCGAATGGTATCCCGGTGATATCCCGGTGACGTCAGCAGCACCCGCCCCTAAGAAAATAAATCCTTTAGCGGAACCGCCCTTCACCCCCTTCATTCTTCATTCTATGTCGTAAACTCGCGGGGATTAGCCCCGGGGCCAGCAGCAGGCACACCACCGGATGGGCCCTCCCTCCGTCGCCCTCTCTCCCTCCTTACATACACCCCACCCCACCCCCCAACACCCCACACAGGCAATAGCCTGCTGGCCGCCCTCCTGCTGCTGGCCGCCGCATTGCTGGCCGTATTCCTATACAGTGGAAGGGAAGCCCTGGGCCTGGTCTCACGTCTCCTAGGCCTCGCTGCAGTAGCCCTGCGCGACAACCCCGCTCTGCTGGGCCTCGTCGCGGCGCTCAAGTTGGCGCTCGCGGGCGCTACTTCGCTGCTGGTGGCGGCAGCGGCAGTAATGGGCGCCGCCGGAGATGTGGTCCCTAATCCCCTGCGCGGCATCCAACCCGGCTGCGTGTCGCCCGCGGGACAGCGTGTTACTTGTTGCGCTCTGGCGCCCTCGGCGGCGCTACCCGCCTACCTTCTCGCGGCCTCGGTCTCCCTGGCCTGGACGGTGCTGTTGCTGTTTGAGCTGAAGGTGTATGTGGTTAGCGGCGTCGTGGCGCAGTGGTACTTCTCCCCCGGGGGTCATTTGGCGGGTGGAGGAGGAGGGCAGCATTACTTGCTCGACGGCGGAGGGCTCGGCGGCAGTGGCGGAGGCGGCGGGGGAGGTGGCTACTCGTCGGGCCGGGCTCTGGCGGCCTCCTTGGGCCATGCGCTGGGTCCGTCCTTCGGGTCGCTGTGTGCCGCCAGCGGGGTGCTGGGGGCGACTACGTACGTGAGGGCGGTAGTCAACGGGTGAGGAAGGGGGAGGGTGAAAGGCGAACCACGAGCGAGTGAAGGTGATGTGCCAAGGAAGGACTGATGCGCCTGAAGTGAAAGAAGGCATTAGGGGGCGGGGGAGGTGTGGGGGCGGGGAAGAAGGGTGTTACGAGGGAAGGGTGCCGAGGAGATGGGAGCACGTGAGAGCCCAGACACTACGTTGACGCGTTAGGGTGAGCGGCGAAGTGCGTGAGGAGGATGAAGGGGTGAGGAGCAGGGCAGCGACAGGCTAGGGGATGGAATGGGTAGGGCCGGCAGAGCTGAGGGCGGTGTGTTGCTCCATCGGTAAGGGCGGCCCCGAGAGTGTGGGTCGGGAAGTTTAGGCGGCGTTGGTGCGGTACCTGGACTCGTACCTCCCATGAACTACTTACCATGCTGCGGCTTCGGCCATGGGGGCGTATCGGGCTGGGCTGGGTGTCAGTAGTTTCGTTTACGGCGGTCAAAGAGGTGCACGACGCAGGCGGGTCGGGGTAGCCGATGGAGGGCAGATGAGGAGACGACCTGCTCGGTGACATTCCGCACCTGGCGAGGTCTCGGGCGGGTCTTGCGTTGGGTGCGTTGGGTTTCTTGTTTGGGCTCTTCCGCTTCTTCCCCGGTCGTTTATGCACAACCTCCGCTTCCACTTATATTCCATGCTCGGCTTTTGCCTGTCTCCGCTCACCCCCCCACACACACACACGCACACGCACACACGCTCCCTGGAGTGACTCGTGGGGCTGTTGCATCATTCGGCTTCGAGTGCTCCATGGCAGCTGGTGGTTCGGGCGGGGACCGTCCGCAGACTGGAACCCCTTTGCCGCCTCTTGCAAAAACTCCTGAGTGAGTGACTGCACCCCCTTCCCACTTTTACCCTTTCTCTCCCCTACGCACCCCCACCCCGCCCCCTCCCCCAACCCACCCCCAGCATTGTGTCCCACTCCCGCCGCAACCACCCGTCCGGCGCGGGCGCCTGGGTCACCGGCCTGTTTGCGTGTCCGGGGGCAGTGTTGAGTTGTTGCTGCTGCTGCCTGGTCACTTTGTTGGAGCAGCTGACCAAGTTCGCCACCGTGCAGATGAGCTTGAGTGGACTAGGGTTTTGGAGGGCCTCCCAGGAGGCTGTAGCGCTACTGCGGCGGAACTCCATGGACGCGTACAACATGTGGTGAGAGGGGTGGGTGGGTTATTCCTTGGCGGGTTACCCGTAGAGGGGAGATTTTAGATGCCGGGCGTGAGGACGTGAAGAAGGGAAGAATGGAAAGTTGGGGAGGAGGGCTTAGAGCTCAAACCGGAAGGGAGGTGGGGAGGGGGAGGATGAAGGGGAGGGCTGTGTGTAGTGTATGTATGTAGGTAGGTAGGCTGTCAGTTGAAGCGGCCGGGCGGGGAAGATGAGGGGGAGAGGAGAGGAGAGGAGGGGAAGGTGAATCGTATGCAATAAACGCAGAGTCAGCTTTCCGACGTGCAAAGGAGCGGTAGAGGGTGCAGAGAGGAAGAGGGGGGAGGGAAGGGGAATGCGGGACGGTGGCGTAAGCGGTTTGGGCGGTTAGGGAGAGAGAGAGAGAGAGAGGGGGGAGATGCTTGTTGAAATAGATTCCTTAGGGAACATGGGACATGGCGCAAAAACGCGGATCGAAGCACGGTCGAGCGCTTCCGGCCCAAACCCTGCTCAGAACATGAACAGGGCGGCAAGTGAGCGTCTGTGTCCTTACTATCCTGTTTTGGCAACCTTTTTGATGTTGTTGTTGTTGTTGTGCGCATCCCTCCCTCCCTTCCGCTCACGCCCCACTCGCCCTCCGCATACAACGTGTGTGAAGGTGGTACATGCCCATGGTGCTGCACTGCGGCGCCGCCGCCTTCGCCGGCACCTGGGGCTACACCGCCTACTGGTTGGTCCGTCAGTTCTGGGCGCCTTTCACCCACCAGGCGCCGCTCAGCGCCACCGCCGCCGTCACCCTCGGCGCCCTGGCGGCCGCCACTGCCGAGCTCATACTGTCCTTTGTGTGTTCTGTACTAGTCAACATCTCAGACGCCTTGTTTATCTGCTTCGTACTCGACCGGGACAGCGCCGCCGTCACCTGGTACGACTTGCATTGCGTTCTCGCGTCGCTGCCGTGCTGCGCTACAGCCGACGCGGCGGCGTTGGATACGCATTTCGCCGCCGGGCTGCATCACGCCGGTGGCTACGGCGCCACTGTCCAGCCGCCGTCGTACTACTACGTACCACCCGCGCCGTCGTATGGTGGAGCGTATGGGGCGTACGGCGGTTACCAGGCGGTCAGCGGCGGTGCGGCGCAGCTTGGGCATCCGCTTGGGTTTGGGCAGCAGCAGCAGCAACGGCTGCAGTACGGCGGCGCCGGGGGGTACGGCGGCGGGGGTGGCGGGTTTTGGGGTTGGTTGAGGAGTCCTGGCGGCTCAGGTTCTGGGATGTACGGCATGCCGTACGGTAGCCCTGGGCAGTATCGCAATGACCGGCCGCAATACCCCCCGCCGGCTGTGCTGTCCCCGCCGTACTCTGATCAGCGCTTTCCTATCATGGGCCCGCCGCCGCCGCCGCCGTTCTATGGGTCGCCGCTGCCGTCGGCGCGACGGACGTGACGCATGATCGTGTTCTGATCTAATCCAACACACAGACACACACTTGTGCTGTATTCCGGCGCAGCATAAACATCGGCTGAAAAGCCTGAGCAGACGTGTAGCTAGCGCCTTTGCCTGGGGACATGTGCGCAGGTTCTCGCATCGCTTATCTGCATTTGCACGCATGTGCGTGTGCAGGCGCCCTCCTGTATTTGTGCATTTTCATGTGCGCGTGTGCGTTCCTTAGCAGGTGATTTTGTTATCTTGGTGCATTGAGACGTGATGGCCACTAAGTTGATTTTGGAAAGAAAACGGAGTTTAGGGAGCGCTATGACCGGAGGGGAGGGACAGGTTTGTTGCGGGCCTTGTGGGCCTTGTGACTGCTACGAGAAGCCCTGCAGGGGTAGAGTTGGGCATGTTTGTGAATTGGTCTCTCTAATTTGTTCCTCATCTCCAGCTCTCCAGCATGTCAATCTGTTTGTCAGCAGAGTGCATTTGTGGCTTGGCGCTAAGACCTGTCCTACCGTGTCCTCTTCGTCGCAGTTGATGTCCATATTGTCATCTACGCACCCTTGGAAGCAATCTTTCTTTGGTTTCATAGGTGGTGTGGAAACTTTTGTTTGAAAACGTTTGTTTTTTCGGTCTTGTCCTCGCTTTTTCTTTTTATTCTCTATCGTGAACCGGTTAGTAATTTCCGCTATTAGCCAACTAGTCAACTAGACAAGTAACCATACTAGGGTTTTGGGTTTTATGACGATGGAGGAGCGGCTTGCCTCGTGGCAGGTATAACCCTCCCCACGAACCCCGCCGCCAACGTCTCCGCGAGCAGCTTGCAGCAGCAATCCTTGCACCGCACAGGGAGTGAAAGCGGTAGTACGGGGCGGACGGGTACTGGCAGGGCGGGTGCATCATCGTGATCATCACCGTCAGCAACAGTGGACTGGGGAAAATGTGGCTCCCGCGCTGTGTGGCCATTGTTGTTATTGGTTGAAAGGTATTACGAACGGTTTCGGAGCGACACCCCGCTGTTGCCCCCGCGTCAGGGACCGGAGCGAGAGAGCTGAGCGATTGAGTGAATGAACCTTCCAGGCGCTTTCAGGTGGAGGTGCGCGCAAGCTCTCGCTCTCTGCCTTGCTCAATGTCAACCGTCCACTTCTGTAACACAACGTAGCCTTACCTGCTTTTCTATAACCTATAAAGCCCAGACTAATTGCAGCTATCTCAAAAAATTAGATGATTTTTATAATAAACCTCAATGCCATGGGAAAGGTCTTATGAAAAACAATTAGACGATGTATTGGTTTTTGCTCGCACAGAATGGTGAAAAGTAATGGTTGATGCCGATAGAGTTAATGACGAGCAGACAAAATATGGAAACATTTAATGGCAAGAGAGCGGGGCTAAGAACATGGAATATATAATCTATACTTACGGTGGAGATTACGTCCACATTCAGAGGAGACACCTCTACTAATAATTGCCCTAATTTCTACGCCAAAATCTGTGTTAACCTCTGACTCAATTATTGCATCTAACATCTTACCTCTACCGCTTCGACATGGACCGATTTTCTCTCAACCTCCTGTACCCAGTTGAAGAAGTTCCTGAAGTAATGAACCCCCCTAAAAATACACTCTTTTGCAAAAGCGCAAAGGGCTCAGTGTCCCCGTTGACTTTGGAGGGCATATCATGGCGACGAGGCCGTAAGCTGGGGACTTGACGCGCACGATAAAAGAGTTGACGGTCGGAACCGCCGTACGTGTACGGTAAAAAACATTTCAGATTTTCACCATCCCTTTCTTCCCGTTTTGAAACCCAAACCCCGAAGCAAACGGTCCCAGGTCGCAGCACACACCGCGACAGCCCCTTCACAATGCAGTCCGCGCGGGAAGGGAAGATTCGCGGGGCGGGGTATGAGCCCTCTGCGACGACAAAAGGAACCGCTGCATCACCTCCCCTAGGTCCCAACCCACCACACGAAACCATTCCGACAACCCTCCAACATGCCGCTGCTGCGGCCCAACCAACCCAACCGCCGCCCGGCCGCCCGGCCCTGCACGGCGCCGCTGCTGCTGCTGCTGCTGCTGCTGATCATCATCATCATCATCATAATGGGGTAATGGACGAGGAGCGCCTGGCGCCACTGGCCCCCCCCCCGCCGCCGCGGCCGCCGCCAGTCCCGCCAGCAGCGCCTGTCGTACCTCGCCACTCCTCAGGGCCAGGACACACAGCAGCTGCGGCGGCAGGGGGACCCCATCCCCTGCCCTAGCTCCCTTCCCTAGCAGCAACCCCTCCGGCTGCAACGCCAGTGCAGCTGCTATCAGCCGACAGCACCGCTGTGACATGGCGCGCTGTACCACCGCCCCAACCTCCTCCACCGCCTCCTCTCCACCAGGTCTATTTACGACCGCTCCCACTCCCCCTTTCCCAGGGAACCAAACATCGTCGACACCGCCGCCGCCGCCGCCGATCCCCACGCCACCACCCCAACCACGCACGTGACTGTAGTCCGACGGAAGCGCCGCCGTCGGGAAGACGCCTTCGTGGCTGCCGCGGTTGAGCTGTTCGGCCTCTAGGTGCCCCTGCCCGCCCAGTCGCGTCAGCCAGCGCACCGCCGCCTCCGCACCCCCCTCCGCCACACGTACCACCAGGTCAGGCCACATGTCGGCCAGAGCCGCTGAGGCACACAGCTCCGCTAGTGCAGGGACTTCACACAGCTCCTCAACCAGCAGCAGCAGCGTGGCGTCCTCCCCCGCCCCATCACACGAGCGCCGCTGCGGCCCTACAGCGGCCTGCGCTTCCTGCGGGTGCTGGTGCTGGTGCTGCTGCCCTTGACCGTATACATGTTGCGGCCACTGCCGCTGCGGCTCCCCCATAGCTGCTAAGCCTGCAGTTGCGATCACGCCTGGGCCCGGATTCGAACCGGGGATCTCAACACCCTTGTCATCGCCTGAGTGGAACCTCGTGGAAGAGTCGCGGCCGTTACTGTTGTCGCCGCAGCCAAAGCCAAAGGTGACCGCCCCAGAGGATCTGCCCGGGTCATCGTACGGCATTCCGTACAAGAGCTGCCCCGCTGCCAGACGGCACTGAAAATCCGAGCTCAGGAAGAATTCCACCAGCCCCTCCGCATCCGCAACTGCCGAAGCCGTTCCGGACTCCGTCCCAGATACGACGTCCGCTGCGGCACTCGGTGCCGTGGACTCCGTCGCCGTCACTGCCGTTGCCGCCGGCCCCTTAGGTGCATAGACCCGCTGTGGCGGCGGCGCTTCGCCCGGCGGCGCCCGTGCAGTCACCTCCGCCTCTACAGGCTCAGGCAGCCCCGCTGCTGCTCCCCACGCCACCTCCATTAACCGCAGCTCCGAAGCCAGGGATGGATGCCGGGGGGCAACTGCCGCCAGCAGTGCAAAAGCGGCATCCAGAAAGGTCGTGTCTAGAGCCCCTGGTCGGAAGGAGCTCCCGTTCTGGCCGCATCCCATTTCGATTTCCTCCGGGCGGAGGTCGTATGGGTCTGCAGAGCGCCCTGGCCTTGGTATGGTGGTGGTGTCGGCGGGGGTGTGGAGCATTGCGCTGCTGTGGCAGCTGCCGCGGAGGTGGGCCTCCCGCAGAGCGGAGCGGCTGAACGCTGCAATGACGTTGCCGGCGGCGGCCCGCCGTACGGCAGGGTCGGGTAGTGCAGCGGCAGCGGTGAGGCAGCCGTCAAGGAGCCGTACCAGTGCGTTACCGAGTGTGGGCCTGGGGATGCGTGCAGCATGAGGATTTGGTGGTTCCGGAGCCCTAGGTTGCAGGGGGCCGTTGGGGGCCGTTGGAGCCTGCGTCCAGACGTGGAGGGTGCCCGTGAATGAAAAGCCGGTGTAGAAGTTGAGGACGATGGAGTAGCGAGGCATGGAAAAGACATGGAAGATTGGGTGGTTGGACTTTAACAAGACTTTTGGAGTGGGCGTGTGGCAGGAACGCTTCCTTTGCAGGACTGTGTTCTGGATGTGGGTTGCTGTAGTTGCACATTAAGTTGTGAGCAGCAGGGGGGCTTAGGGTGTTGGATACGCATCAAGCCAAACATAGTAAGCCATGCTGTTTTTGAACTAAGGCTTGAATGTATTGAACAAGACAGTTTTCGCCCCGATAGATGTGCACACACAACGCGCAGGTGTAGGGTTGGGTTTAGGTGTGGAGGCCAGCTCCAAAGGGTCTGATGCGTGACATGTAGATGATACTTTAACACCGTTAACATGAGCACTTTTGCTCCTGGCCGCTGCTGGCTACCGCAGTTGCACGGCAGAAGGAAAACCGCTACAATTTAGTCATGCTTCTCGACTGCACCCACCATCAGGTGACATTTGCTATGTGCCATGAGCCCAGAATGGCAGAGAGAGAAGAGCTGCTGCAGGGGAAGGTATTCTGCAGCGTTGCCTTCATAAAGTAGCCACTCACGGATGGCCTCCGTGGCGACTTGCATACATGAGCTCCATGATAGTCCTGCCATATATACGCAGAATCGCAAAAACTAGGGGATCAAGGATGACTGGGCAAGCGCAGGCTGAAATGCACGTGCGCATGAAAGTCCGTTCGCGCCAACTATTAGTACGGCGCCATCGCGTCGTCCGTGGGCAACTTACTTTGCCGCCTCCACAGCCATGAGCAGTATTGACACATGTAACTTTTGTTTTGTTCAACATGTCGAGCGACCTGCTAACTGAGCTGCAGCGACAATTGCGAGACGTGAACGACCAATTTGCAATTGTCATAGAGCAACTTATTCACATCGCTCCACCAGCACCTTTGGAAGGTGATAGCGGGCAAATTGTCGCGGAGGAGCCGTCGGCCGTATCCCACGCAGAGCTACAGGTGAAAGCACTCGAGCTCTCCAAGGGGATTGCCCAGCGCTTCAAGGACATCAACACCATCATCAGCAAGCTTCCAGATGCTTACGAGCCTCCCGAAAAACAGGATGCCCGGATAGGTGTTCTGCTGCATGAGCACCACGCGCTGCGCAAGGAGCTCGGCCTGGTGATGCAAGAAGCGGAGCGAAAACTGGAGGAGATCCATGGCTGCTATGAGGCAATCGCGCAGCACACCTTGCGACAGGCTGGCAAAATGGGCACAAGCAACTCGTAAGCACCGTGCTGGTGACGCAGGGGGGTTGGGCGTGCGGTTTTAGCAAGGAACCTTAGAGGCTAAAGATGATCAGTATCAAGGGAACAATGTCCGCATGAGGGGGGCAGGAACGAGGTACAGCGCTCGCTGCCGTGCTGCGTAGGCTGTTGTTATGCGTCCCGTGTTGCATCGCATATTTCGCACGCGGGAAGCCCCCGGTCGGTCACAAAACGGGCTTCGGAGTTCTGACTCTGCAGAACTGATGTATTCATAAGCTATCCAGGAGAGCTCTGGTGGGGAATAGGACAAACTTTCCGACGGAAGGTATCGGCGGATGCTTTGATGGCGGATGAGGTTCAACTGTCTGTGAGATAGAACTGTTCCATGATTTCATTCTGGTGGATGCTCGTTAGCAAGTCACACGCGGCTTTCACAATAACTGACAACATGCGTCATAGACGAAAGGGATGCATGATAGCATGCATTATGGTTTTAGGTTTTATGCGAAACCTCCGAAAGGGAGTTGCGCGGCTCCCAAGTCTCCATGCTAGTGGGTCTCCCTGCACGATTCCTGTGCTGCGCCTTTGCTGGTCTATGGAGTTTCTGCATCCGCCGTCGTAGTAGTAATAGCTCGGAGAAATCTGAACAAACGGTGTAAGCTGTTTGGGGGAAGCTTGGACCCGATTGGGGAAGCTGTAAAGTATGGCTTTCGTCGCTTCGTCACTGTCCATAGGTGACAGTTATAACGCTGCCAAAATTAGGAACGGTGGACACGCGCGCTTCGTGCACAATACAAGGGCATTTTGATGTATGCGACTTCTGTGGAGGTTATTGCCTGCTGTCCTTGGCTGTGCGGTGAACCAAACTGTTGGCAGAGGAGGTGGCCAGATGGTGTAAAACAATACATGCTGGTAACTTTACAAGCACCTGCTAGGTGCATGGGTAAAAGTCGATTCGGGAGGTGAGCCTGGGTCGCCATTACCTCCGTCCTGACCATACATACATGCACATACGTACATACACGCGTGCAAGAGGCGCTCCAGGGCAAGGTGGCTCCTGCAAGGTGGCTGGTTGAGTTTCAGCTATCAAGTAACTCCGCCTGGCCGATGCCACCGAGCAATAGCTCCCATGCCTGCAGGACACCGACTCCAACGGGCAGCGTGAAGTAAGAAACCCCAGTGCAGCACAACAGAGGCCCAGGAAGGCTCACGACGTTCACACACACCCTTAGTCAGTGCGTTTCGCTCAGTGCTCCTATCGCAGCAGTGACGCCATCATCGCCACGCTACGCACCCTGGCGGCCTCTCCTTGCCCTATCTCTCGCCACCACCGCCGCACTAGTGCGCAGATAGGCTCCCACTGCTCCAGTCCATCCGGATGACCCCGGGGAAGTGAGGTAGTTGTGGAGCCGCAGCCCGGAGCTCCCGGAGCCTTCACTCCTCGTCCGTGTCCCCAAATTGAAGAGATTTTAAGTCGTGCAGCTTACAGAAAATCAGAGGCGTAACCAGAATATTTTTTCTTCGCGCCAAGGGAGGCGCTTGCGTGCCGGCAAGCGTGCCTCCCTTGCATGCACGTTTGCACTTCGTAGTTTTTACGTGGTAGGCGGCCCGCGCCATACAGACGGGGCTGTGCGATGCGGGGCTGTGTTGCAGCATGCATGTACGCGCTGTCGTCAGTCAGTCAGATTCGTTCATCATCAGAGCCCGCCCTCACCCGGGCACACCAACGCATCCGGACTGCCGGCGTGCCATCCGCCTGGCTGCTGCGGGGCCCACTTGGGCTGTTACCAAGCAAGGGGTTTGCCATGACAGCAAAGCCATAAACCAGGCAACAAAATGCGGACCAGCATGTCAGCCGCAGTCGCCTGGCTGCCCCTTTAGACGCGAACCCAACAGGTGCATAAGAGATGCAGGCAAGGAGGGTCTCATCCATCTCAGCGATGATCTGCGTCTCTCCTACAGTGGCTCAAATGCGTATCCCGTTCCAAGTATGACGGCCGTCACAAATGCTTAAATGCACAAACAACAGGACACACCGCCAGTGCTGCCCTGCGGTCAGCTGACCGCGCGATCCGACGCGCCTCCACGACAGATATGGAAGTAATAACAGCAGTAACACCTTCAGCAGCAGCAGCAGTAGTTGGCCACTATAACATACAGAAGCAACAGGCCATGATGCACGTGGTGGCGCGCTCTGAAAATCTCCAAAGGTGAGACACATGTACTTACCACCCCCGAGTCCGCAATGCAGTATGGAGCAAACAGACCTCACAGCCCCAGGGCATCACACCCACCCACCCACCCACACCCTCACAGCACACCATTCACGGCAGGGACAACACGCATATCCTGTAGGACCGACTTGCAGCCGTGCGGTTCAGGCAACGGCTAACCGCCAACCACTGGTGCCATGTCACGTAGGCCTATGAGCAGGACGACGGGCAAACGGATAGCTGCAACCCCGCCAGCTCCCTGAACGACCGGTTCACTTTCCGTTTTCCCCCCATTTTATCTTCCTCCCTCCATTCTTCCCGCCCACCACGTCTCATGACACGGGTCGGGTCCCCAAAAGGGCGGACACACACACACACATGTGCACGTACATACACATACACAAACACACACGCGTATGCAATAGAAGCGTTGGCAGCTATATGCATCTGCCAAAACAGGCGACACACACATATAGCGAACTCGACGCCTGGGGCCCGACTGGGTAAGTGTCAACAGTATAACCAGCTACCAGCTCATCTTCTGGTAAATCAAAAGGTAAAGAATGTCGACCTCCATTCTTAACCACAGCGTTAGGTGGAGCGAGTTGAACGGCTCGCTTTGTAAAGTCGGACGGCTCGGCGGTCCCGTTGTGGAGTCTCTTCCGCGGCCCCACCTGCAGGTGGAGTACCGTGCCGTACTGTGCCGTATCATCAGGGCCTCAGCAGCTCCGCCGCCAGGTTAATAAAGGCCCAGCGGTCCTCCGGGTGCAGCGGCAGCCCCGGGGCGGCGGCGCTGCGGACCAAGTCCGCCGCCACACGGGCAACCGCCAGACTGCGACCTGACGACACGGAGGACGCGGAGGACGCCGCGGCGGGGACGGCGGGCGTGACTCCGTCATCGGCGGGGAATACGGCTGTCGCCGCCGCCGCCGCCGCCTGTGGTGGCGCCGATGTCGCCATTGTCGCCATGACGGTTGTCTCCTGGCTGCAGGCCGCCGCTTCCTGCATGAGTGTACGGCTGTACTGAATGAAGGTCTGCTTGGTGGGACCGGACAGCGACGGCAGCTGCAGCGCCAGCGCCAGGATGCGCTCCGAAACCTGCGCCACGAGCTCCGCATACGGCAACTGCTGCTGCGGCAAAGGGTCCAGAGATCCTGGAGCCAGCCTGTGTGTAGCAGCGCACGTGCGGGGCCGGCGTATCAAGGATTGATCGATGATTGATCACCGCAAGGAATGAAGCCACGTTGCGTACGGTGGTGATGACCGGGTTTGATGCACTCGCCCTACCACCTCACCTCACCTCGCCGACATACCCTAAAAAACCTAAAACGCATATGGTAGATGTGACACAATAACGCTAACCTGAGCTTTACTTGCTCCCGTAGCGTATCGCACTCCTGTCGGAGGCGAACCACCTCGCCCTCGCACAGTGTCGGGCGCGCAGCTGCCGCCGCGACAGCGCCGCCGCCGCTGACACCTTCAGCAGCCGCGCCCACAGTGGCGCCCTCGCCGGCAGCTGTAGCTCCCGACTGCGGCTGCTGCGCCTCCGTCTCCGCCGCGCCATTCGGCTTCAGCGCCGCGGACTCACAGACGTACATGTGGCGATCTGCCAGAATCGCCGCCGCCACAGCCAAGTCGACATCTGCGGGAGGCATGCCGCCAAAGGGGCTCACCCCGGCGGCGGCCGCCGCCGCTGCCGCCGCCGCCGCCGCCGGGTTGAAGGGTGTCGCCGTCGCCGTAGCGGCGGCTGCGACGGAGG